TGACCTTCTCCCATTCCTCCTCTGGATCATTCAGATGGTCCTTTGCAAACTTCAGACGGGCTTTGACATGCGTTGGCTTGAGGAAGGGCACCTTGCGTGCACTGCAGGATTTTAATCCTCGACGGCGTAGAGTGTTACTGATTGTTTTCTTTGAGACTGTGGTCCCAGCTCTATTCAGGTCATTGACCAGGTCCTGCCGTGTAGTTCTGGGCTCATTCCTCACCTTCCTCAAGATCAATGATGCTCCACGAGGTGAGATCCTGCATGGCGCTCCAGACCGAGGGAGATTTTCCGTTTTTTTGTATTTCTTCCATTTTCTAATAATTGCACCAACTGTTGTTGCCTTCTCACCAAGCTGCTTGCCTATTGTCCTGTAGCCCATCCCAGCCTTGTGCAGGTCTACAATTTTATCCCTGATGTCCTTACACAGCTCTCTGGTCTTGGGCATTGTGGAGATGCTGGAGTCTGATTGATTGAGTGTCTGGACAGGTTTCTTTTATACAGGTCACGAGTCCAAACAGGTGCAGTTAATACAGGTAATGGGTGGAGAACAGGAGGGCTTCTTAAAGAAGAACTAACATGTCTGTGAGAGCCAAAATTCTTACTGGTTGATAGATGATCAAATATTTATTTCACACAATAAAATGGAAATTAATTATTTAAAAATCATACATTGTATTTTTCTGGATTTTTGTTTTAGATTCCATCACTCACAGTTGAAGAGTACCTATGATAAAAATTACAGTCATCTACAAGCTTTGCAAGTGGGAAAACCTGAAAAATCAACAGTGTATCAAATACTTGTTCTCCCCACTGTATGTTCATCTACAGAAGTCTTATATCTAAACTAGATGCAATAAAAATCTGGGTTCAGTCCACAGAAGCAGACATAATAGTCTTATCTGAAACATGGCTCAACAAAGCTATCTCTGACAAACAAATCTCCATTCCTGGTTATAACGTTTTTAGATGTGATCGCCCCAAAAAAGGTGGTGGAGTGGTTATTTATATCAAGAACAAATTCACAGCAAAATTTCTGTCTTCTTGCTCAATTAGCAAACAACTTGAGCTACTGGCACTAATACTAGACTTCCCTGACGGTCAATCAATCACTGTGGTGGGTTGTTACAGGCCCCCCTCAGCCTAAAGTGACGCCCTCACTTCCCTAAGAAACTTTCTGACAGGGCTAAATGCTAAGGAACTACTGCTAATTGGTGATCTAAACCTAGACTGGTTGACCTCTACATCTGACAATCTTAAATCCATCTGTGAATAATTAAATCTAACACAACTAATTCAAACATCAACACGCCCAAATAACAAAACCCCTGAAAAATCCACCCTACTGGACCTTATCCTAACAAACATGCCTCACAAGTACACAAATACATGTGTTTTCGCTAATGACCTTAGTGATCACTGCACCATTGCAGCCGTAAGAAACGGAAAATTACCAAAATTAAAACCCACCATTATTTTCAAAAGGGATTTAAAACATTTGTGAGCAGGCCTTTTTTCGTGACTTAGCCACTTTTGATTGGAATAAAATTTCATTGATAGATGACGTAGAACTTGCACTGGCTTACTTCAACAAGGGTTTTCAAAACATAATCAACACACATGCTCCATATCGTAGATACAGAATAAAGGGACGTAAAAATCCTTGGTTTTCCACTGAGATAGGAAATCTGCTCAAAGAAAATCAAAAACTGAACATGACTGGCTCAGCTTCCGACAACTTAGGAACAAATGCACAACCCTAATTAGAAATGCAAAATCAAATTACTACCTGGACGCATCCACAAAAAATCTAAATGATCCAAAAAGGTTTTGGCAAATAGTAAAATCAAATTCTGGTCAGACAACAACCACTGATTTACCCAGCTCCATTATGACCAGCTCAGGTATTCTGTCAGACAAATTATCAATTCTAAACTGTTTTAATGAACACTTTATATCCTCTGGCTCCCTGTTCGAATCTACGCATCCTGAAATGTTATCTGCTGACCAAACTAATGAAAATCCACCCCCAACTCCGCATGTGCTAGACAAACGGGTCACAAACCGATTTGACTTTGTATCAATCTCTCCCAGTGAGGTTCTAAATGCTCTAAAAACTCTTGACACACGCAAAGCAGCAGGACCTGACAACATAGAACCACTTTTCCTAAAACTAGCTGCAGATTTCATTGCTGAACCACTTTCACGTATTTTCGATCTCAGTCTAAATACAAATACAATACCCAAAATCTGGAAATCGGCTTATGTTCTCCCTCTGCTAAAAGGGGGTGAACCAACTAATGTCAACAACTACAGACCAATTTCTAAATTATGTATTCTTGCTAAACTGTTCGAAAGACTTGTCTGTGATCAGCTAACTGTTTTTCTACAATCAAATAATATTTTATCACAATTCCAGTCAGGATTCAGAAAACAGCACAGTACCGTAACTACAGTTCTCAAAGTATTAAATGATATCATACATGCCCTGGACTGCAAACAATACTGTGTTGCCCTATTTATAGACCTATCCAAGGCATTTGATACAGTTGATCACAGACTATTGACTAACATCCTGAAACACTCTGGTCTATCAAAACTAGCAGTCTCCTGGTTCACCAACTATCTAACTAACAGAACACAGTCTGTCCATGTAGCCGGATCCTCCTCTACTTTCCTAGATGTTGTGAAAGGGGTGCCACAGGGTTCTGTCTTGGGTCCCATTCTTTTCTCCTTATATATCAACGATCTATGCAGTGATCTGTCAAACGCCTCCCACCATTATTATGCAGATGACACTATCATTTATTGCTGTTCATCCTCCCTCAGCCAAGCCTTCACCTCTCTTCAAGACGTTTTTAATATTATCCAGTCACGTCTGCAAAAACTTAGACTGGTCCTAAATGCTGACAAAAGCAAGATCATGGCTTTATCCAACAGAAAGCAGCAACCTGAGAACACACCTCAAATTGAAACCCAAGAGGGGAAACAAATAGAAATGGTCTCCACCTACAAATATCTAGGTTTCAACATTGACAATAAACTGTCATTTAAAATCCACATCTCCAAAATGGTCACTAAACTCAAATTGAAGCTAGGCTTCTACTTCAGAAATAAATCCTGCTTCTCATGTAAAGCCAGGAGAACATTAGTAGCTGCAACTTTCATGCCGATATTAGATTATGGTGATGTGCTGTACATGAGTGCTGCATCAAAATACCTACAGTCCTTAGACTCAGTTTATCATGGTGCCCTTCGATTCATTACTGATTCCAGTTATCGCACTCATCACTGTGAACTTTACGTCAAGTCTAGCTGGTCTTCTCTCAGCGCTCGCAGATACTCTCACTGGATATCCTTCATCTATAAGACCCTTCTAAACCTAGTCCCGTCATACCTTACCTCCCTAATACAAACATCACACAATCATTACTCCCTGCGCTCTAATGACTTAATCCTCCTGTCAGTTCCTCTGGTCAGAACTGAACTAGGAAAAAGAGCATTCAGCTTCGCCGTCCCCTCAGCCTGGAACAACTTACAGACAGATTTGAAACTATCAACACTCATCTCGCCTAGATCCTTCATGTCAATCGTATCAGATAAAGTTATCAAAAATCTGGACCATTGCAGATGTTTCTAAAACACTACTTATCAAATATACATGTCTTTGTTGACTTTTAACTCTATCTACTTAAACTGATGTCTGTTCTACATTTAATGTCTACAGAAGTCTGTCTTATCCTGATGGTTTCAAACTGTTAACATTTATTTATCGTGATAGTAGTTTTTTTCTTTTGATAAATGCAAATGCTTATTGTCAATTACCCTGTGACGTGTGCTGATGACCACTTGACCAGGTCACCCTCGTGAAAGAGATCTCGATCTCAATGGGCTCTACCTGGTAAAATAAAGGTGATTGATTGATCGATTGATTGATTCTGGTTAGAGATTCATGAGTAACAGCCTCAGGGTAGAAGCTGTTCCTCAGTCTAGTGGTTCTACACTAAATGCTCCTCAACCTCCTTCCTGAGGGGAGCAGGGCAAAAAGTGTGTGTGCTGGGTGAGTGGGGTCCTTCATGATGCAGGTGGCCCTATTCCTGCATCTGGAGGTGTAGATGTCTGTGATGGTGGGGAGACTGACACCAACATCTTCTGTGCAGCCTTCACCACTCTCTGCAAAGCTTTTCTTTCTGCAGCTGTGCAGCCTCCATGCCACACGTTGATGCTGGAGCACAGGATGCTCTCCACTGCACACCTGTAGAAGGAGGTGAGGACTGAGCTTCCCAGACTAGCTCGTCTCAGCCGCCTGAGGAAGTAGAGTCTGATGAGCTTTCTTGATCAGGCTGGTAGTGTTGCTGCCCCAGCTAAGGTTGTCATTCATGTGTACACCCAAGTACTTGTAGCTGGAGACCACTTCCACCACAGATCCTCTTATGTTCAGGGAGATGTAAGTGTGTTCGTTCCTTCTGAAGTCCTCAATCATCTCCTTTGTCTTCTTCACATTGATGTGAAGGTTGTTCTCTTTGCACCAGCTCTCCAGGTGTTCCACCTCTTCCAGCTCTATGTGTGACAGCACTGACAAAATGAAAAAGTGACTAAAAGTTCAACCAGAAAGGATGAGAACAGAGAAATGACCTGTGGTCACCACCTGCAGAATCACTCTTATAGGGGTTGTCTTGATAATTGCCACTCATTACACATGTTGTGTGTTCCACTTGCACAGCAGCAGGTGAAACTGATTCACAATAAGTGTATTTAACTGGTGACATTGATTCCACAAAGATGTGACTGATTTGGAGTTACATTGTTTTTTTAAGTGTTCCCTTTATTTTTTTTGAGCAGTGTATATTGTACAAATAAAGATTACTTAATATGTTTATAAATAAATATATGTTCTGTGTTTTTATGGCAGATCACGATGACTTAGTCATTTTATAAGTAGCTTGCATGCTGAAAATGTGTGGGTACTCCTGCTCTAGAGTCGTTCATCTCAGACTTACCATTGGTCCCTGTTGAACGACACAAACAGGCGGATGCCTGGAGGAACAGGAGCCATGCTTGAATCAAAGTGCAGATTATCACAGTGGTTTAGGCTGAAGGGGAACCATCAGACATGTTCTGGACTCATCTGGACCTCAGCCCACACCCAGGAACATCCACATGAAGGTGAAGCATCCCTGACTCGAGAGTCATGCACGTGGAAGGAGGAGCCAGGTGTCTGAAAACTGAACAGGATAAAGTTTCAGGAAAAGGAGAATGAGGCTGACATTTTTACAGAAATAAAGATCTAAATACAAGAAAAAACTGAATGTAAGTTGGTACTAAAAGTGGACCGCAGCTTGCAGCTCAATGAGCTCTCCCAACTAATGTCAACACGTCAGGATTACAAAACTTTATTAAAAACCTTCTGAAAGCAGCTCGAGGACAGGTATATGGGTCCTCACCTGTACGGCTACATATAGTGAGATTTACCACATTCATTTCCAGATGGGATTAATTTTGATTAGAATGAAACTACATTCAGTCAGTGAAATATGTCTGAAGGTCCAGTTTTACTTTGTGAACTTAATCTTTCATTAAAGAAAATAAACTTTTGGTTTTCAGAAAATGTCTGCCATCATAAATGATGAGTATTTTAAGATTTGCCTGGTTTAACAAAAAACAATTCAAGTAGCCCATCTACATCAGAATCTGACCCATCAGTCCCATTTGAGAAATTCTTAGCACTGCAGGAATGTCCCCTGAAGTTCTCCCGATAGTCTGACCACAGGATGGATCGGTCCCAACAGCAGCACCGACACCAGGGAGACTGGACTCTACACCACTTCATACAAGCACAGGTGATTCCGGGACAAAGAGTGCTAAAAAAATGTTTATTTTTCCATAAAGAATTAACAATATCTGAACTTTTATCAGAAAGACACTTAATTTAAGGAGGATCTTAGTGGACTCAAAAACAAAAGTACATTTTTTCAACACCCTCGTCCTTCCAGGACTCGGGTTGTTCCACAAGAACACCTCAGACAAATAGACCCACCTCCTGTAAAAAATGAAACTAAAATTCTGCTGTGGATTATTTTCTGAAGATCTTAAGGTACTATGAAGGTTCTAAGTGGTCCAAGTCTGTATCCCATCAGAACTTTGTTCAAAGATTCTCACTAGGGGTGCACCGATTTCAATTTTCAGGCCGATCACCGATCACCGATCACCGATTTTTTGAAAGTCTGAACTGCCGATTCCGATTTTGGCCGATACCGATTTTTTTTTATAAGCAACAGTGTCAGGTGTTACAAGATCACAATGCACCTTCAATTTACCAATCTTATTTTATTGTAAAACATACCCTTGAAAAATACCCTAGAAACAATACAAACTTGTTGTTTTAACTTGTCATGAGGTAGTATTCTGAAATATAAATGTTTACACAATTTTTGTTAAAACTATAAAATTAACCAAAAAAAAAAAAAAATGTTCAGTTCCTTCAACTCTTTCACTTGTTACATTTAAAAAAAAAAAAACTTAAAAAGATAATGCAACAAGTGTAACATTTTCAAGTCAGTGGGTAATAAGAACTAACACTGGCACAGGTAAGTTAGTTCTCACAGACTTATTCCAGTCACTTTCATTAGTGGCAGGTTTTTCTTGATGAACAAAAGCATTTCTGCTTTGTCACCAGACAGGCGACTTCTTTTCTCATCTACTACATGTCCAGCCAAGCCAAACAGGCGCTCGCTTTCAACGCTTGTGCATGGGGCAGAGAGATAGGTTCGGGCAAGTAGAGCAAGATGAGGGAAACGATTTTCATTGATCTTCCAGTAGACCAATGGGTCCTGGCTCCTTTGGACAGGAACCTCAGATAGGTAGTTCTGTACCTGCATAGCTGAAGGGCTGGCCAGCTGTTGCTCCTGTTCAATGTTCTCCTTCAAGATTTCGTCGTGAGCTGCAAACAGTAGACTACGCCTTTTGGCTGCAGGTTCATCTATATCAGGAGGTCCCACTTCAGAGGATGTTCCTGCAGCAGGTGTGCATCTGGTCTCCCCCTCTGCAAGTTTGGTCAAAAGGAGCAGTTTCACGTCATCTTTCACCTCTGCTGAGAAGTAGCGATTCTTGTACCTTGTTTTGCATAAACAAAGAAAGATGGGTCAATCATTGTGTTTTGTATACATTAACAGTTTTTATGACTTGCATGTAAATAAAGAAATGCATTTCAATCAATAAATGTTTATTTTTAATTTAATTTAAATGTTTGTTGAAATATAGTAGTAGGCTAAAAGTCATTATGGCTAAAATAGAATGTTAATAGTTACTTGCCTTGGATCCAGAACAGTGGCCAAGCTGTACAGGGGCTCATGCTCAATGTTGCTGAATCTTCTCACAACAGCCTCCAGCAGCGTAGCTTTGGCTGTACCCACGCCACGGTCTGTGCTCGCTTGCCTCTCCAAAATCCGCTTGAGTGCAGTGATGGCTGGGATGACATCTGCTGCTGTAGCTGTTGATGAGCTAATCTCCTTTGTGAGTTCCTCAAAAGGTGCAAGAATGGTGAGCACATTGTCCAGTAGCTCCCACTGGTGTGCTGTGAGTGTGGCTGGTAACTCATGCTCAGCAGCATACACGCCAGTAGCACGTCTCTGCTCCAACAGCGACTGCAGCATGTAGACTGTGCTGCTCCACCTCGTTGAAACGTCTTGCTGTAATCGTTTCCTGGGTTGACCTAACTGTGTCTGTATGTCATAAAGTTGGGAATAGGCAAGTGATGAATGCTTAAAATGTCCAACAATTCTCCTTCCTGTTGCCACCATGTCTGTGATGCTGCGCTGCACCAGCTGTTCCTCATTTACAACCAGTTGCAGTGTGTGTGCCAGGCAGGGTAAACTTTTCAGGTTGATATCATCCAGCGCTTTGGCCATATTACGAGCATTATCCCGTAAAACAACGTGAACTCTTCCATGATCGATTTCCCAGTGATTCAGCATCGCCTTAAACTCTGCTGATAAATTGGCCGCAGTGTGAGACCCCGCCATTTCTTTACAGTTTAAGAGTACTTGATGACGTTCGAACTGTTCGTCAATCCACTGTGCAGTAAAACTTAACATGGACATTAAACTTACATCAGAAGTCCAGATGTCTGTTGTAAAGCTGAGCGTATTTGTATTAGCTTTTAGCAGGCTGCGGGTGTCTCTCGAAACTTGGCTGAACAACTCCGGTAATGCAACATCAGAAAAATATTTCCGACTCGGCATATTATATCGTGGGCACACGTGCTGCATCAAGCTTCTAAAACCTTTGTCCTCAACGACTGAAAATGGCTGGTCGTCTAATGCCATGAACTCCATCACTTTCCTCGTGGTAGCTTTGCTCTTTTCGTTGCTCATAAAAGCTAACAGCGACCCACCGACTGCCTCTTTGTTAGCGCTAGCTTTAGCATTAGCCTTAGCTTGGTTGCTCTCTTCAAACATTGCATACTTGGCGGCGTGGTGATTTCTTAAATGGCGAACGAGGTTTGTTGTATTAAAGGTTTTGGTGGTGGCTCCACCACGACTTACTTCGGCTTTACACGAATTGCAAATTGCGATCTTTGGCTCATTTTCTTTTACAGCGTAGAACTTCCAAACCGACGACATGGCTGCTCCGAGTGACCTGTGTGTGAGCTCTCACAGTGGAGCAAAAGGGGACAGCAGCTGATTTTCAGACCTTTCCGGAGGCAGATAAGATCGGTGGATAAAATCGGCTTCTCATTTAAAGATCGGCCGATCGCCGATCTCCCCAAATTAAGGAAATCGAGGCTGATCGATCGGCCGGCCGATTTATCGGTGCACCCCTAATTCTCACTGCCCAGAACTGTTGACATTATTTATTGACAACTCTTAAGGAGCATCAAGTCCACAGGAGGACACAGTTTGTACTGGAGTCTGACTAATGTGGAAATTTTGGCTATCGCCGATACAGATATTGGGAGGGGTAGGTGACTGCCAATAACAGATATGACTGAAAATCTTTGGGTCTTGTCCACCCCCAAGAATCTAATGCCCCCTTTCCTCTACTCCTACTCAGCTCCATCTCTGCTCAGCTCGCTACGATTAGAGCGCTGTTCCACTGTCTCTCTGGGCCCCCCAGCTTCCCTGCTCGCACGCTTTCGTCCTGTGAACCCTTAAAGAGCCTCTTTTTCCTGCATACCTTCCTAATTTGAAGGATCAGCTGGTCTCTCAACAAAATTGATCAACTTCTTCCGACAGGAGTCAGGGTAAGGAGGACCCTCTTCGACGGAAACGAATTGGATTCATGATGACAACTGTTTTTTTGCTGTTTGGCTGGTGAATTCTGGATTGTCTATAAATTTGTGTGGATGTGTCGAAGCTTGACAGTGCTCAGACTGAATTATGTGCAATTGCATCAGAGAGCTGGAGCAGCTGTTATCAGGACTGTGAACTCTAGCAACACACATGAAGATGGGAAATAATCTTAGAGAAGTTGTGAACTTGACTTTTGGCGTAAAGGATCAATTCAGTTGTTTTGGAGTTTCCATCAGAGAAATGTACCAGCGAGACTTTAAAAAAGGCAGAAACAGCAATTCACGAGTTCTGCCTGACCCAAACTGTGGCCTTGATGCCGGACTTATCTCAACTCCTCCTGGCATGTTTAGAAAAAACTAAGATGCTTTGTCTGTCTCATCACCCCTCCCTTCCCCAAGGCTGTGGACATGTGACAAAACCTCAACCGAGCTGATGATGAACGTCACCTCTTATCTGGACAATG